GCGGCGGCGGCGCCGGGCCGGCGGCTGCGTGTCGTCGTCGGTCGCCGTCGACGCGCGCGGCGCGGCCGCCGCCGCGGGCGGCGGCGGCGCCAGGGTCGGCGGCTGCGTGCCGTCGTCGGTCGCCGTCGACGCGCGCGGCGCGGCCGCCGCGGGCGACGGCGGCGCGCGGCGCGGGGACGGCGACGCCGTCTCCTCGGGCGACGGCGGCGGCGGCGCGGCGGCCGGCGGCGCCGCGGGCGACGGCGGCGCGCGGCGCGGGGACGGCGACGCCGTCTCCTCGGGCGACGGCGGCGGCGGCGCGGCGGCCGGCGGCGCCGCGGCCGGCGCCGCGGCCGCCGCGGGCGAGGGGGGCGCGTCGGCGCCGTCGTCGGAGAAGGACGAGATCGCGTCGTCGTGCTCGACCGGCGGCGTGAGGAGCGGGCGCCGCGCGGCCGAGAAGCGGCGCGAGAGGCCCTGCGCGAGCTGCGCGGCCGTCGCCTTCATGTTCCGGCCCCACGTCGCGAGGTGGAGGATGCCCTGCGTGTCCGGCGTCGGCTCCTCCTCGAGGCTGTAGAGCGCGCGGTCCTGCGACGGCGGCGCCGAGGCCTCCGCGCTGTCCTGCGACGGCAGCGACGACTGCGACGGGGGCAGCGACGACTGCGACGGGGGCAGCGACGGCTGCGACGGCAGCGACGCCTCGGAGCGCCGCGCCGCGCCCGGCGCCGCGGGCCGCGGCAGCTCGAAGTGGGACGACGGCGGCGACGGCGGGGCCGCGTCCTGCGACGGCGGCGCCGACGCCGCGTCCTCCGATGGCCGCCGCGCCTCGTCCTCGAGCATGGTCTCGTCCTCGTCGACGGCCTCCCGCTCCGCGGCGGCCGCGGCGGGCGGCGCCTCGGGCTCGGGCTCGGGCGCCGGCGCCTCCTCCTCGGGCTCGGGCTCGGGCGCCGGCGCCTCCTCCTCGGGCTCGGGCTCGGGCGCCGGCGCCTCCTCCTCGGGCTCGGGCTCGGGCGCCGGCGCCTCCTCCTCGGGCGCGCCGCG